CTGGAATACCTATAATCCTTATGTTGCATTTCCTAAGTGAGTCGGATATTTCTTGGAGAATTTCTTCATTTCTTTTTAGTCTTAGTTCTTTCTCCTCCTCCACCTGAAGCATTTCTATATTTCTGTCCTCCATAATGTCAGCTCTGTTTTTTAAGGATTCTAAATTGTTTTTTATCTCATTCATTGTGTGTTTCATCTCCAGCATTTCTGTTTGGTTTGTTTTTTTTGTTTTGTTTTGTTTGTTTGTTTGTTTGTTTTTTTAGAGTTTCACTCTCTTTTGTGAAGAATTCCCTCTGCTCGTTACTTTTATTCCTGAATTCATTGAACTTTCTTTCTGAGTTTTTTTGTAACTCACTGAGTTCCTTTATAACTATTTTGAATTCCCTGTCATTTAGATTGTAAATTTCTGTGAGCTCAGGATTGGTTTCTGGAGACTTGTCATTTTCCTTCTGCTCTGGAGTGTTAATGTATTTCTTCATGCTGTTTGATGGGGTGGACCTCTGCCAGTGCATAGTGGTAGTATCTGGTCACAGATTCCACCTGCCGCCATGGGGGGGACAGGAGCTGTGTTTTCTGAGCCAGCCACATCCCCCAGCAGTTGTTCTTGTCTGTTGGAAGTTGTGTCAATAGGGCCTGTCTGCATTTGCCCACTGGCTGCCGCCACTTCACACATGCAGTCACAGGTGCTCTGGTGGGGATCCCCTGCCCTGGCTGACTGGCCAAGCTGGTGTGCCAGGCGGGATGGGAGGAGAGGGTGCTTTCTTTCTTGCCTGCGCTCCCGCTATGCACTCATTGGTGGGCCACCTGGGCTGCTCAGCATGGTGGAGGCGCCCCTGCAGTGACTGAGCTGCTTTGGTGTGGGGCATTCCCTCAGGCTGAGAAGGAACTCCGAGAGTGAAAGCATTCCCCTGGAAGGCTGCCTGTTCCCCAGTCTCCTCTCAGAGTCACGCGCCAGCTGCTGTGTGAGGTCCAGTGCCCTAGATCGCTTACCTCCTTCCACTGCTTCCTGGGGGGTCTAGTACCCCCACCTTCAGACGTATGGGTGCACGGATCTCTCAGACGTCTATTGTGTTGTGTGAGTGTCCTCTGCTGGTCAATGACTGTCTTTTTCATTGTATCTTAGTGGGGAGAGACCAAGGGAACTGCTCACACCACCTTGATCCTCTTTACCTCCATTTTAAAAAATTAATAGGAAGCAATGTATTAGCAGAAGTTCCAAAGATGTCTGAGACCAGTACTAGACCTACACGGTGTTTATAACTCTCCTAGGGACTTACCCTAAATAGAATTCTTTTAAAAAAATTTTTTTATGTTCATATCATTTAAAAAACAAAAAGATTAAAAACAAACCCAAGAAAACAAAAAAAGAGAAAGAAACAGTAAAAATCCTCACTCCTTTCCTTCTCATCCTCCCAGTTTCCCTACCCTGTAGGCAACGACTATGCTCAGTTTCCTATGAATTCTTCCTCAGAGTCTATAAGCAAAAACAAGTGCCTTAAGTTTTCATTTAGGGTGATGGAGTCTAGGGAAAACAGTGTTAAACATTAAATATGCCATTGTTAGTCGTGTAGCATTAGAATTGTTATTAGCAATTATAGTATTAGAAATGTTAACATTAGATGTGGAGGTTCTATTTGACCAAGTCTTCACTCAAACTGGGGTTGTCATGACTTTTCAAAGCACAATTTCCAGAAGAAGGAAAAAAAAAGAAAAACTAGGCATTAACTAAAATACTAGTCAACAGTATCACGAGATGAAAATAAAGGCATAAGACTTAAACATTCTAAGGTAATTTCCAGGTTCAGGAGGAGGATAAAGAAAATGATAAAAGTATGAATGTTAGTAATTTAAGAGTATCTGGCAAAGTACTCATCTCCAGAATATGTAAAGAACTCTTACAAATCTGAGGCTTAACAAATATATTTTTTTTAATGAACAAGTGAATAAATGAATGAAATAAAATGAAAAGGAGACACTAGAAGAACATATTCCCTTTTCTGTCTCGGGAAGTGGTTGGCGAGGAGGTGGTGTTTGGAGCTTCTGTAGCTCTACTGAGACCATGAAGAAATAAGCTTGAGGGGGAAAAGTCAACACACGAGGCATGGCAAAGTGGACAGATGAGTAGAACTCGGGTTCCAAGCACCACATTCCCCTGGATGGGCAGATAATGGAGCATGTCTGAAAGTGAAGCCATAGAGAGGCAATGAGAAAGAGAGAGCACAAAATCTAATGGCATCATTTGAACTGCTGGCTAGAGCCCTGCTTGAAACATCTGTCCATCTCCTTCCTAGCTGTGTTAATTCAATAACACCCTCCCCACTTTTTGTTTAAATGTGAGCTACTTCTACAATTTTGGGTCATGTGTAAATAAGAGTCTTAACTAATATAACAGCTTAGGAATTCTCATCAATTGAAAAAAGGAAACAGGGCCGGCCCCGTGGCTTAGCGGTTAGGTGCGCGCGCTCCGCTGCTGGCGGCCTGGGTTCGGATCCTGGGCGCGCACCGATGTACTGCTTCTCCGGCCATGCTGAGGCTGCGTCCCACATACATCAACTAGAAGGATGTGCAGCTATGACATACAACTATCTACTGGGGCTTTGGGGGGGAAAATAAATAAATAAAATCTTTAAAAAAAGAAAAAAAGAAAAAAGGAAACATATTATTTCCCTATGAAAAACAAAAAAACAAAATTTGATTTTGTAATTGTCAGCAATAGAAGATTCTTGCAAGGATTTACAGAAACCCGTAGGTAAGTGTCCAATCACTTTGGTGCGCAAACCTAGACCTGCGTCTCAGCGTTGTTAGGGAAAGTAGCTTGAGCTCAGAGAAAAATTGGTGGATGTCGTTCATCTATCATTTATGCTCTACCTTGCTTGGTTCCCTGAGAGAGAGAGGCTTGAGTGCAGGTAGTTATTCTGGGAAGCAAGCTTAGGGAAAGGTGAGAAGATTGAATGAGTAAACCAGGATAAAAGAGAAAACCGTCCAGGGGTGCGTTATAGAGCTGGCCACCGCTGTGGGCACCTGGGGAATCCCATTAGGGATCTTTGAGGAGCTATGCAGCACGTCAGAACTGTCCACTGCACAACTGTCCACCTGCACAGAGCACAAGGATGTTTATCCACCCATTCCTGCCCCCATTGCTCAAGGATTGCCCCAGAAGTGCTAATGCCCTCAGAGCTCCTGGCTTGCAAATGCACCAGGGGGTTGCAAGAGAGAAGCCTGGGACAGAAAGTGACATGTGGTGCAGCTGAGGAGCCGTGGGGCTGCATGCACACACAGCTGAGGTGCTGTTAGGCGACACGCACACACGGGTGGCTGGCTGCAGTAACAGGCAAAGCACGAAGGTGAGTGGAGAGGATGCTAGATGGATGTAGCATATGTCCAACCCATACCCCATAAAGGGATCCATGTAGAGCACCTCCATTCAGCAGAGCACAAGCCAGCTGGGGTTGAAGGCCCCCTTCTGCCTACTCAAACACACGAGCTCAGTTCAGGCCCAGATTCCTGGTCCAATCAGCCTCTGCTGGGAAGCCAGCTTGGATTCCCACTAAAGAAACAGAAGTCATTCTTCTGAGAATTCTAAATGGAATTTACCACATCCTTCCAGGGGGGACCCTGAACAACAACGGCAGTGTCACAACAGAAGTCTGTGGAAAGGATGCAGAGAGCTCTCCGTGTGGCCATTCTTATTTTAACCTTCTGTAAAAGCGGAAGGCGTTCCAGTAAAACAAATCCGAGTTCTAACGTTTCCCAGAAGTGGCAGTAGAAAGGACTGCTACTGAGCCAATGGCAGTAAAAAATAAAGATGATGACAACGACAACACGAAGCCTGGTGCTGAAGACTGAAAGAGTCAAATCCAGTTGGGACCTGGGTGGGCAGAGGGGGAGGAGCACAGGACTTTGAACCCAGCCAACCTGACTCTGAATCCTGGCCCTGATACTTTTTAGCTAGGTGACTTTCGGAAAGTCATCCATCTCTTTGAGACTCAGTTTCCTCATCTGTAAAATGGGGGATAATAATGTCAGCTTCCCAGGGTTGTTAAGAGTTAGAAATAACACATGTCAATTAGCCAGCAGTGTCTGGCACATAGAAGGTATTCAAGAAAAGACAGGGAGGAAGAATGAATGAATGAAAGGCAAAAAGAAGGAGGAAAACAAATCTAAACCAAATAGCATAGTTTATAGGAAGGAAATGCTGATTTCACCGATATTCTCTTAAAAGAGGAACAAGGAAAGAGACAGCTTTTCTAAACAGGAGTGTTGGCACCAGAGTTCTCAGCACACAGATTTAAGGTCGGATCAGAATGCTCACGTGGGCTCTGAACTAAAGCACCCTTGGGGATGGGGTGGGTGGCCCTTTGCATGCTCAGCGTGGAAAGGCCAGCCTCGGTCAGAACATCCCCACAGCAGCCTGGGTTCAGGGTCCAGCCCAGTCATGGCTAGGTCACTCTGGTTTGGGGTCATCAGGGAAGGCAGCTCCTTGCCAGGAAGGAGGAAGAGGAGGAGGAAGAGCATCCCAGAGACAGAGAAGCCCCTCCTGACTCCCACATCATCCTGGTCACCGTGTCCCAAGCAGAGGCCTGTCCCAGGTCCCTGGTGTGCTGTGGGCCCACACATCCTAAGTGCGTGGAGAACACTCTGAACACGTAGAATTAACTCCTTTCTCCTGGTACTTTGGAAATTATCACTTTCTTTAATTTGGGGGGCATACTCTCTTATACGTGTTGTTCCTCTGACTTGTTTCCACGGCAACAAAGGAAGAATGAAGGCGCTGTCAGAGGAAGGTACAGGCTGTTTGTTTTCTTTTCACGTCCTCAGGGGGCTGAGGGTTGTGGTTAGAAGCAGTCATGACTCCTCCATTCTGTAAATTACTCACAACAGACGCTTCCAGTTTCTCCCAGTTTTGTTTAATAGAGGGGGAGGGGGATGGACCAGGTGGAACCTCAGCTTAAGGAGTCTCTCACTGCCACCAACAGAGGCAAAGAATAGTTCATCTTCTTCAGGGTCAAGGGCAAGTTGGGTATCTTCCCGGCAAACGGCTCACCCACCATCAGCCTTCACAGCCCCAAATGGCCCAGGTCGGCAGCGGCTGCCAGGCCCTGCGGCCATGAGGCAATGGCCAGCTCACCTGTGCTGGTCCCTCGGCTCCTGGATCTGACAGGCTGGGGGGTCTTCTGCCACCTGGGATTTGCCCTCGAGCACCTGCCGGACCCTCTGCATCCCTGGGAAGGGGAAGCGATGCCCCGTCAGCAACGAGGGCTGGGTGGGTGGGGACAAACAAGCCGAAGCTGCTGAGGCCACACGCGGGGCCAGAAGAGGGAAGGCAGAGTGAAGGATGCAGTTAGGACGGGGCCAGGAGGGCTGAGTGCTCACCCAGGCAGAGCCGGTGGGCCTTGTCTGAGAAGACCAAGCGGAACCAGCCGGGCTCTTTACACTCGAAGGCCTTGCCAGAGGACAGCAGCACCTTCTGGTCCAGAAAGCGGCGCCAGAGCCGCATTTCCTCCTCAAAGGTGCCCTCGGGCAGGTACTGGGAGGGTGGAAGGGGCTCAGGACACAAAGGAGATGCCCCTGCCCCTCACCTGCTGGAGGGAGGCTTCAACTCCCTCCCCACCCGCTCCCCCACCTGCGTACCTTCCTCAAGTCGACCCAGATGAAGAAGCCTGCCCCCCGACTCAGGAAGGGGATCCCCAGGGACCTGAGCTCTCCCGAGACATAGGCGTGGGCAGCCTTGAGCCGGGCGTGGTTCTCTGGCAGGTACACCTGGTTGATCCAGTCTGTTTGGGTGAAAAAGAAGCCAAAAGATAAATCTCCCATCAACCCTCCACTCCGTCCCGCGAATCTAAGCACTGAAAAGAACAAGGCAGTGAGCTGCCAAGACCGGTGAGCCTGCCCTCCAGCTGGTCGACCGGGGCGATGGGCATGTTCAGTACTCAGTGCAAAGCATCTTACATCCGGATACTCGGCCCTGACAGCTCCAGGTCCCTCAGGATGCAGACCCTAACCAGAGGCTGATCCACTCACATAAGGATGCTCCTGAGTCACACAGGCTCAGATCCCAGCATGGCCACTGACAAGATGTGGGGCGTTGGGCAACTTCACCTCCCCGATCCTCATTTTTTTAATTAACCTTTTTTTTTGGTGTCCACTTCGATGAATTTTAGCACATGGATAGATCTGTGTAACCCCCACCATAGGCAGGATACTCAACAGTGCCCTCCTCCCAAAGATCACCCTTGTGCTATCTGTTTATAGTCACATCGTCTCCTTCCCCACAACCACTGGTCTGTCCTCTGCCATTGTAGTTTGGCCTTTTCCAGAATGTGTCATGTAACTAGAATCCTACAGTAATGTAATCTTTTGAGACTGGCTTCTTTCACTCAGCACAATGCCTTTGAGATTAATCCTGTTGTCACGGATTTTATTGCACAGTAGTATTCCACATGTGGATGCACCACAGTTTGCTTCTCCATTCATCTGTGGAAGGACATTTGGGTTGTTTCTAGTTTGGGGTGGTTATGATTAAAGCAGCTATAAACATTCACATCGAGGTTTTCACATGACCATCAAGGTAAATACCTAGGAGTGGCATTGCTGGCCCATTTGGTAAGTGTGTGTTTCACTTTATAAGCAACAGCCAACGTGGCTGCACCATATTACATTCCCAGGAGCAGAGTGTGACAGTTCCAGCTGCTCCGTAGCCTTGCCAACACTTGATGCTGTCACTATTCTTTCTAATGTATCTACAAGAGCAGGTGTGTAGTGTCTGGGCCTCATTTTCCTCATCTATAAAATAATGCAGAAAATACTGGAATATCTGCTTCCTAGGATTCTGGAGAGGGACAAACGAGATGGCGCATTGAGAGCATCTAGCAGGGCTCAACCAGTGATGGCAATCAGGGGTCACCTTCGCCATCTAAACCCGCGGTCTGAACCTGGGAACAGAACAGATCTGCATGGACAGAGATACTTCCCTCAGAAAAATTTCCCCTAGTAGCCTCTGCTCAAGTGCTCACAGCTAATAATAATGAGTTCACATTGATTAGTTGTCGATTATATGCCAAGTACTATTCTACTTGAATGACAAATCATACTAACCCTGCAAAACAGGTCCCATTATGATCCCTGCTTTACAGATGAGGAAACTGAGGCTCGGGAGATGAAGGGATGTGCTGTGCAGCCAGGAAGTGACCGAGGAGAGTATGAACCCAGTCTGGGCCCAGAGCTGGCACTCTCCAACACTACCCTGAATTCTTCTTGTGGGAGAACCATCCATGATTCCTGGCCAGTCCCAGACTGGCCTCAACCCCCTCCCCATCCTTAGGTGACCAGGCCCAGGCAGTCACCGCGATCCCGGAGCAGCTGTGCCATCTGGTACTGGACCAGGCCACTGAGGCCGTGATAGCGGCAGAGGGAAGCCACCGCCGTGGCCACGTCCCGGTTTTCTGTGTACAGCGTGCCGAAGCGGAGCCCAGACATGCCGAAGTCCTGTGGGAGAAAGGCACCCTAGGAGGTGGCCAGCCCTCCATGGAGGAAGCCGGTTCCCCAGCCTCTCTGCCCTCCCACCTCCCTGACACCCCGAGGCCAGCCAGGAACCCACCTTGCTGGTCGCCCACATCACGTGGGTCCTCTGGGGGTCAGGCAGCCTGCGGAGAACACAAGCCCTGGTTTCACCTCTTGAATCACCAACTCCTACGCTTCCTTGAGAGCAGGGTCAGCAAACTACAGCCTGCAGGCCAAATCCCACCTACTGCCTGTTTTCGTAAATAAAACTTTATGGGAACACAGCCACAATCTTTCATGTACATGTCTATGGCTGCTTTTGTGTGGTGATGGCAGAGCTGAATGAGAGATCACATGGCCTGTAAAGCCTAGAATATCTGCCACCTGATCTAAAAATATTTGCCGTCCCCCGATCTAGAGCATAGCTCAGGTGTCACTTCCTCAAACAGACCTCTGATCATCTCCCCGTAGACCAGGCCAACGGGTGTCCCAAGCAGTTCCTCTCAGGGCCCCCACACTTATCCTTTTAGTACTGATCATGGCCACAATCAAATGACTAGCTGTGTATTTAGCTGCTAAAATGTGTTTTTCTGGCTAGAAATACAAGTGCCACATAGAAAGGGCCTGTGTCTTTCCTGTTCACAGTGGCGTCCCCAGCACCTCGCACGGTGTCTGGCACAGAGAAGAGGACAAGTCTCTATTTCTCTGTGTCCCACTTTCCTAATCCATGAACGAAGGGGAGTACAACCCATGCCCCAGGTACTCTGCAGAGCTTTGCAAGGACTAGCTGAGAGAGCCAACGGGAAGGACTCAGCAGGGTTGAAAGGTCTGAACGAGTGGAACTGCCAGAATCTCCGAATGTCAGATTCACAGACATTACAGATGATCTGGTCCAAGTGTTTCCAAGGTGCTCTTGGCTCAAACTAAATCCAATGAAAAAGCCCAAAAAGCCAGAAGTACTTAGCACATGCAAAGAGCACCTGAATGAATGAGTGAGTGGGTGAATGAATGAATGAAACTTCAGCTACTCGGGGGATGAAGGAAACAGCAAAGCAGGCCAGTTTCCCACCCACCCAGCCCTCCCTCAAGGAATCCTACGGCCCCTCCTTGTTGCTCTCAGACACCCCACAGAACAATCTGAAAACCACTGATCCGGCCCAGCCCTCCCATCTTCTCATTAGGGGATCTGACGACAGTGGGATCAGCTGGATGGAAGAGCAATCGCCCTGGGGCAGGCCATGCCCTGTGGGCCAAGCCACAGAGGGGCCAGGACACTGGGGCGGGGTGGGGGCCGGCAGAGTCAGCTCTGTGGGGGCAGCCTTACCTTTCCAGGCTGAGGACACTGCGGTACCCCACCGACTCCTCAAACACGGACAGCATGTAGACCTCATCCACCAGCACATGCAGCTCATGCCTGGGGGCAGGTAGTGGGGAGGAGAGAGCTTGGTTCACAGGCCAAACTCGTCCTCCAGGGTGGGAGAGCAGTGAATCAGAAATCCAGAGGGACCAGGGTTACCAAACTTGTTTTTTCCAGGAACACCCTTCTTTCGCCTGTTCTTTTCAAACACACAGGAAGCCGCACACACAAAGCAGATGACAATGGGGCTTTGAAGCAGGTGAGGGAGAGGCAGAGCCCTCGGCCACCTCCAGGAGGAAGGGCACAGTTAAGTGCAAGACTGTTAAGTACAGACACACCCAGATTCAAGTCTGGCTCCACCCCTCACGCTAAGGCTCAGTAAACTGGGATAACAACAGCATCCATACGGAACTGGGTTGTTGGGAGGATTACATGAGATAGAGCATTTATCAAGTGCTCAGCAGGATGCCTGGCCCCTAGAGCGTGCAATAGATGACAGCTGTTGTTATAAAAAGAAAGAGAGAACCAGCATCCTACAGACCCCCACCTCCCCACCCCACTGCCCGGGATGGGCCAAAGCAGGTAGAAGCCCACGGTGGAGTAAAGAGGGTGGAAAGACCGGCCCCAAAGCCCGCATCAGAACCCTGATCCACTGGGACACTTTGTGGGGTGAGTGTCGGGTGCTCACCTCTTGGCAAACTCCAGGAACTCCCGTAGCTCTCCGGGGGAGTAGATGTCACCCAGGGGGTTCTGGGGGTTGATGAGGATGAGGCCTTTGACCTTTAGACCCTGAAATCATGAGTGAGGCAAGAGACCCTCAGGAAATCCTGAAGGCCAGAGCCACGTGGTCCCACTGGACGGGGCTGGTCGAGAGCGGGCTCCTGGGGAATGTGATGGGAACATGTTCACAACCCTACAGGAAGCGAACGAGGGCAGAGAATTACATCTGCAGCATCCTGTCGACTATGAAAGAAAACAAATGCAGGGAACAGAGCCCAGGAGGAAATACGCCCACCAGCCAGCAGAGATTGCCTTTGTTGATAGAATTACAGGGGGGGGTGGGCTGCACTTTTAAAATTCCTACAGTGGGCATGCACAGCTTTAACGACCATAGCAAAAAAACTCAGTTGGCGGATTTTTGAAAAGGAGACTGGAAAGAAGCCCAGGAGTACTGCTGGCCGCTGCCTGTCTTCAGGAGGCCTCAGAGCCCCTCAGAGTGAGGGGGGACCACCTCTTCAAATCACCAGGGACACTGTTGAACTGTAGGCTTCTAAGCTGCACACTTGACCGGCTGAATCAGAATTGGGTGGAGTGGGGGAGTGGTGTTTTTAATCAGGTGCCCTGGTTGATTCTCTGAACATTGAGTCCTTCTCCGGTGGGCAGACCCTCCATGGGAAGGCTCCTGCTTGACCCCCAGAATGGTTCTGTGCTACCACCCTACGCCCCTGTCCCCATTAAAGACTGCCAACTCTACCCCCGGGGGGAGGTCAGCCACAGGAAGAGGGTCCATGCCCTGCTCAGACCCACCCACTCCCAGCCTTGGGTTGGATTTGATGCTCAGACCTCAGAATTAGCTCCATGTAGGGCCACCTCCAGCCTCTCCACGGTGAGCTGGAAGGGGTGTGCATCCAGCCCAGTGACCTGGAAAAATACCCACAAACTCCACCAGCCAAATTCAGTGACAACCCACCCCTACTCCCCGCCAACCTGAACTCGGGGGACCTCTCCTACCCCTGTCATCTCCAGCCTCCTTAGAACAGTCTCTGGAGAAACACAGGTGGGGCCACTCCCCTCTCACTGCCACCCACCCCTGCGCCATCACTCAGGGACACCCTCATCACTCTTAGGTTTTGGGAAAAGCCCCCAGAGGTCCTCCACTGGGGTCCAAGGATGTCCATGCTGAGGTCTGCTCTGCTCCATTCTCACTCTACTATTTCGGTGTAGTCTCCTGGAGGCTGCCCTTGGCTTCAACCATCAACACCAGGAATCTCAGAGCCAAGAGCCTGGGAGCCCACAGAAACCCAGGCTCGGGTAGCCACAGGCAGCAGAAAGCTCCACTCCCCTTTCACTGGTAACCCCAGAGCCCTGAGCATGGACTTCTGTCCACGTGCACCCTCAAATTCAGATGCAGAAAAGTCTTGGCCTCCAGGAAGGCCCTGGTCCTACCTGGGGTCCCAGGAATGCTTACCTCACTGTCCAGATAGACACAGACCAGTCGGACATTGCCATAGAGATAGACGTGCTGTGTGATGGCTCCATAGTAAGGGGCAGGGATCAGGAAGGCCTCTGGGGGCAGGAGTGGGCGAGGGCCTGTCACCCTCGGGCCGGAACACCCCAGACCCCCGTCCATTGGCCCTGTGCCTCTCCAAGCCTTCAATGTCCTTGGGGAACATTTGGCGCACGCACCCTCTCTCAGTTCCCAAACTCTTTCTGAAGCCTGGATCTACCGAGATCAGTCCCTCTTCTAATAATTAGTAATCAACATTTATTGAGCACTTACTACGTCCTGGGAACTGCACTAAACATTAATTTGTGTTTTATCTCATGGATGCGATGGCATGGTTGGATCCTCACAATCACTCTGTGAGGTAGATACTATTATCATTCTAACTTTACTGATGAGGAAACTGAAGCTTAGAGGATCCCTCTGAAGCGCTTGACATGTGGGGTCACTCCAAGGACACGCTTGGATCCAGGAGTCGAAGCTGCAGGGTGATGATCTGGGCTCAAGAAGTGGAAAACCTTGCAACATACGGAATTGCCCAGAGAGAGAATGTGCTGCTTCAGAAGGAGTGGATTCTCCAGCCCTGGGGGCACACAGACTGAAGGCTGAGACCATTGAGTGCAGGGGATGCCAGGCAGAAGTCTCTAGCTGTGGATGGGGGATTGTTGAGATGACCTCCAAAGTCAAGGGGAAAAGGCATTTCTCCACTTCTGAAGAGGAGAGAGGTCAAGCTGCCCTCCCTTCCCAACCATCCCTTTAGCACCATCCACCCCACTCGCAGTCTGGAAGGGGCAGCCTTTGTCCTACATGTTCCCTCCCCTAGCTATGGGGATTGGACCAAAGGTAGACAAATGACCCAAGGGAACCGATCCACTGGCCGGCCAGAAACCCATCACGTGCTCTCTCTCTCAAGACTTTGCTCTAAGAAGCACAGACCTCGTGAGCTGAGAACGTGTACTGCAAGGGAAAGGTCACAGGGAGTCGGAGCTGGGGCAGCAACACTGGGCCATACAGAGCTGAGGAAGGTCCAGAGAGAGGCCAAGAAAAGGGGGACTGCATACCCCAGGGAGAGATGGAGAGTGTGATGCTGATCCCGTTCTCAATTGTTCTGGAATGGGTAGGAACTTGCCTATTACAACATCCTTGCAATGAATCTTCCTTTTATGGTTCAAATCCTGGTTACTATCTCTCTGTGTGATTTTGACCAGTTACTTAACCACTGTGCCTTAATCTCCTCATCTGTGAAGTGGGGGTAACCAGACAACCTCCTCATAAGGTGCTGTGAGGACTGAATTCTTAGGCCAGTGCCTAGAATGTAGTATGTGATCAATAAATCTTACTAACATTACCATTATTAGTTAAGCTAATGTGAGTGGCCTCTGTTCCTGGAAACCAATAACCTCTGACCATGACCAGTTCTCAATACGACTATGGCTTTTGTAGCAGGCACCACTGGCTGCTACTCAACAGCCATTCCAGTGTTCTTCCTCACTAAGAGAGCACCAGATTTCTCAGATATGACCAGCAGTAAGTCCAAGGAAGGTGGGCCTTCCCCCAGCCCCGGGGGACGAACCAAGTTTGGTTTAGGCCAACCATGGCTCTCTTGGTCGCCCTTCCCAGAGACTGCCTTGGGAATGGGTTTGTGAGCCAGTTCTGGCCAGTAAGATGTAAGGGGAGCTCTGTTGGGACCCCTCTGGAAAAGAAAAGCCCCATTCCCCTCTCTTGATAAAAAAGAGACAGGCAAGGCACAACCTCATCCCTTTCTTCCTGCTTTAGGACATGCTGTCACGTGAGGATGTGACAGCCATCTGTGAGCATGAAAGAAAAGCCAAGGTGATCGCAGAGAGACAGCCCAGAATCCTGGCATCACAGTGACCTCCCCTGGATTGCTGACCCCTGGGGGTCCTGTTGAGCCCCCTGTAGTCTATTACGGCTGAGAGCACTCTGATGCAGCCCTCGAGGACAGGCCACTGGGGACACTGCAGGCACAGGGCAGCCCCCAGTGCTGAGGGGCACAGTCCACTTACCCCCCACCTCACACAGCACCGTGGCCAGAGCAGAGAAGAGAGAGGCACAGCCGTTCAGAACAACCACCTGCGGGTGACACATCCACGGGACAAAGATGAATCTGTCCCAGGAGGGAGCAAGGACCTGCAGCCTCTGTCCCAGGACGGCACAGAGGGAGAGCCAGGTCCCAGCTTGGCGCCCTACATGGCTCTGTCTCAGCAAAGCCACAGGAGGTCCCCGAAGGCCCCTCCTAACAGCCAAGCTCATTCATGTGGGTCATTCATGGGGACCCTGCTTTAGGTCAACTGAGCAAGGAAGAGGGAACTGGTCACTCAGAGAATCTTGGCCAAAAGTGTGGAGGCAAAGTGGAGCCACAGAACAAAGTGGGGCAGAAATTATCCCCAAACTCGAAATATCTAGGATGAGGGGGAGAGAGGAAGCGGATATTCCTAATTCCACTTGGAAACAAATCAAAACTAAGTGAAAGGCGGATCCCAAGCCCACCTTACCCCTGGCCAGCCAGAAGTGGGGGCAGGAGGGCAGAAGAGCAGGCAAGAGCAGAGAAGGGGGGCTACTCACATTCTCCGGTTTGAGGGGTGCGGGGCTCTTGCAGTAGAAAGACAGGAACCTGGCCACTTCCTCCCGGAGGCTGGAGATGAGACAGACAGACGGGCAGAGCCTGTCCGAGGGGCCTCAACCCACAGCCCGTCCCAAAGCTCCTCTGGGGACCCTTCAGGCAGCTCCCATTACGCCCCTCTGGTTTCCCACGAGGGGAGTGTATCTGTCTCCACTCCTCGGTGCCCACCTTCCTCTGCCCCCCATCACTACCCCCATGAATCAAAACTTTCATTCTCAGTAGTCCTAGAACACCAACCCCACCTAATCAGCAGACTTCAGGGACATCAAAAGTAATACTCTATACGTAGATCTAGCTAATAATAACAATAATAATAACAGTATTATTATAACAATAACTATTATCATAGTTATTATTGCTAATATTTATTGAGCATTTACCTTATGCAGGTGTTATTCGGAGAATTTTATGCATTTAATCTTCATAACGAGCCTATGATGCAACTACTGTTATTATTATTCCCATTTTACAGACAAAGAAACTGAGGCTTGAAGGAATTAAGTCACTTGCTGGCAAGTGGCAGAGCCCACTCTCCAGCCCAGTGATCTGACTCCAGGACCACCATCCTAACTCCTATAAGAACACGTGCTTCAGAATCACTCTTGGACTCAAGTCCTGCTCAGTCACTAAGCTCTTAGAACAGCGTCTGGCCCCTAGTAAGTACTCAGTAAGTATAAACTCTTATTAGTATTATTTACCATCTCCCATCGTACAGGAAAAGGCCCTAGCTAGCTCCCCCTTAGCTGATTCTGGCTCCTTTAAAGCTACTGAGAAAGTGGGGACAAAGACTCCTCACCTGAAGGCCCTTCTCCTGCCTCAGACCCAGAGAAACCACGCTAGGGAGCTCCTGAGCTGGGGTGGGACTGGCAGACGCACCAGTTCCCTGCAGATGCTCCAGGAGAGCCCATGATCGCCAGGTCTCCAGGACCAGGCCCGCAGCCTACAGTAGGCTTTCTCCACTACTGACATTTTAGACCAGATAATTCTTTGTTGTGGGGACCATCCTGGGCATTGTGGAAGGTGTAGCAGCATCCCTTGCCTCTACCCAATAAATGCCAGTAGTACCCCCTTCCCAGTTATGACAACCAAAACTGTCTCTAGACATTGCCGTGTGTCCCCTGGGGAGCAAAAGCACCCTGGGCTGAGAACCACAGGCCTGAAGCAACTACTCACAACAGATGCCCCCTCCAGTCAGGGTACTGCAGCAGGGCCGCCTCCACGCGCAGCATGTCGCTCTGACTCAGCTGGGGACAGACAAGGGAGAGCAGGTCTGAGGGCCGCACAACCTCACGCTGAGGGCCGGCACCACCACCCCCATCCACACGGCACCAGGGCCTCTAATGCCAGGGCTTGGTCTGCTCATCAGAGAAACCATGAGACGGGAGCACAGGGACAGCATTCTCGTGCCCATTTTCCACATGAGGAAACTGAGGCTCCAAAAAGTAAGGTGACTCAGCCAAGGTCACAGAGCTAGCAAGTGGCAGAGCTGAGACAAAATCCAGAATTTTTGACTCCTAGTCCAGTGCTCTTTATACAACACTGCCACCTAAAAATACCAGAGGGGTGCATTCGTGGAGGCAGCAATAAGAGACCGTGCTACTCAGCAACTCCGTGGGGTGATGGAAGAGGTCCCAGAACTGGGTGCCATCATCCTGGTCTTGGCTCCAACTTCTAGAGAGACTCAGCCCATTGTGCTCCTGTGGGCTCAGCTCAACCTTACACTTTGGAAAATGTAGCTGTTTTTAGACCATCCCCACCCCAACCAGGTGCTGGGTTACGGACACACAGGGCATCACACACACAATGTCAAGGAAAGGCAGGGGCCTTGGGCAGTGGGACCAAAAGAAGAAAGGTCACCAGCCACTTGTGTATAAGTCCAGCCTTTCCCCGCTCTCCTTCATCCCTTAGAGCTGCCCTGTCCAATACGGAAGCCACCAGCCACATGTGGTTACTGAGCACTTGGGATGTGGCCGGTCTGAATCGAACACACTGGATTTTGAAGATTGATCTGAAAACAGTAGGTAAAATAGCTCCTTAATAATTTTTTATGTTGATTACATGTTGAAATGGTCATATTTTAGATCTATGGTGCTAAATAAAATATATTATTAAAGTGAATTTTACCAGTTTCTTTTTACTTATTTAATAGAAAATTTTAAATTATATGTGTGGCACATATAATTTTATTTGATCACATTTATTTTATCACATATCACATTTTATTTCTATTGGACGGTGCTGAGCTGCCTGAGAGCAGAGAGCTGGCTTTCGGTAGAACAGGCCTCTCAAGCCCCCTCCCTGCCTCCGTCTCCTGTTGGGGCCTGGATAGTTCACCCTCGGAAATGTGTTCCTTTGGGTTAAGTGTCGCCCTCTCTACAATCTCAAACTCTGACTCAAAGACCTGGGAAGACATCTCGTTTGCTAGAGATGGCTCGCACCAGCTCAAGAAATCTGCTTACTAAATTTTCAGGAATTTTGCAAGCCGTGTTAAAAAACAATCATTTAAAAAATTAAATTATATATAAACTATGTAAATTATATTTAAAACAATAAGCACTCAAACATCATCGCCCCTATGGTGTTACTACATCTGACTATCATCTGTGCTCGAGGTTATTTCCGTCTATGTGTCTGGACGGGGGGACGTGACATAACGGGTGCCCCACTGCGCCTCTCTTCCCAACTCTGCCTGCAGTGACGTCACATCAGCAGCTTGAAATCGGCCACGTGGGAGTATTTACACTATGGGAATTAGCAAAAGCTACAAATCAGGGCTTCTTCTCCCCACTGAAGAGCCAGTTGTTAAATACTGACCACACACCAAGTAGCGTTTCCCCTCTGAGAGCAGGGACCTAGACAGCAGGAGGGACTGAGCGAGGGAAAGGCCTGAAGAGATAAAGAAGCAAGATCAGAGTAGGGAAGATCACATAGATCTCCCTCAAGATCACATAGAAAGTCACCCCCGAGGCAGATCTGGAATCTGGGTCTCCTGACACCCAGGCCAGGGCTGCGGAGGTAAGCACCCAGCTCTTGTGGGGGAAGCATTCTGGGGATATCCAAGAGAAGACAGCCCCTCGGAGCTGGCGATGCCACCCACAGGAGCACCGGGACTTACCCGCCTGGACAGCAGGTCAAAGCAGAGTTTGTTCTCACTGGTGCCCAAGTTAATGATGCCCTGGAGACGAGAGGTACAGAGGCAGGGTGAGCATAGCAGAGGGGGCCAACGAGAGGCCCGCGGAACACACCGAGGCAGCAAAGAAAGGCCGGAGCTCCCTGCAATCCCGCCCTTCCAACCGCCCCCCTTGCCTTTGCTCAAGCCGTGCCCTCCACTCTGCTCCTTGAACCCATCTACCTATTTCTAAAGTTCAATTCAAATGCCATCTCCTCCGGGAAGCCTTCCCCAAAACCCCACCTTGGAAGAGATCTTTTCTTCTTCTAGACCCTTTAGAGCACTGGTCAGTTTCTGCCCCAGGTCACAGGGACTGTTGCACATTCCTTATCTCTCCCACTAGATGGGAAGGTCCCTGAAGGCCGGATGCATGCCTGAGACACCACTGTGTCTCTCCAGGCGCTTAGAAGGACTCAATACATTTTTACGGGATGAAAGAATGTACAAAGTAAATCGGGGCTCTGGCTGGAACAGAAACGAGGGTGTATGCAGAGCAAGAAGAGCCCTGTGTTGGTGGAAATGCTCCCCCGGAGACCCGCGCGACATCACCCACCTTGACCCTACCCCATAGGCACAGATTCTCATGGGGGAGGGATGGGGGAAGGCACAGCTCAAGTCGTCCCTTATAGAGTCGCAGAGAGACGCATGCGCTATCCTCCTGACCCCTGAGTTACTGGGGGCATAGGAAGGAGGAGGATGAAGAAGTACAGCTTGGATGAGCTCAGATTATGACAAATAAAAGGCAGTGCTCCTTCACACTCCTCCACCCACTGCCAACGCTCCTGTAAATCCTGCCACTTCCACCCTCAAAACACGTGCATGGTCCAAACACTGCTCACCCTCCACTGCCAAGACCCCGGGCCAAGCCACCAGCACCTCCCGGCTAAATTAGTGTAATAGCTCCCTGCTTCCTTTCTTGCCCACTCCCTCCCAATCACTGCCCACCCTGGGTCTAATCTCCATACAGCAGTTCAAGTCCAAATCATCTTTTAAAAACCAAAATCAGATCATGTTGCTCCTCCTTTAAACACTTTCCATCCCACTTTATCTAAAATTAGAAGGCTCACCATGTCCTGTCAAGGCCCTCCAGGGTCTCTCACCACCCCCGCCCCATTACCTTTCTGACCTCATCTCCAGCCCATCTCCAGCCGCTGACCCCTTTGCTGTCCTTTGAACTCATCAAGTACGGTTCCACCCTGAGCCCTTTGCAGTGGCTGTTCCCTCTGCCTGGAATGCTCACTCCCAGGGATCCCCACCTCCCGGTATTCACATCCTTGTGTGATCTCTTCTCCTTGAGTGCGGGCTGGACCTAGTGCCCTCCTTCTAATGAATAGGATATGCAGAAGTGATGGGATGTAACTTCCAAGATTAGGTTATAAAGAGCCTGTGGCTTCCGTCCTGGGTACTCGTGATCTCTCATTGTCTCTGGGATCACTTGCCTTGGGGGAAGCCAGCTGCCATGTCATGAGGCAGTGCTATGGAGAAGTCCATGTGGCAAGGGACTGAGGCCTGCCAACAACCTGTGAGTGAGTTTGGAAGTGGATCCTCTCCCCTCCACCCTGCGAAGGCTTCAGATGAGACCGCAGCCCCTGGCTTTACTGCAGCTTTACAGAAGATCTTCAGCCTGGGGCACCCACCTGGATTCCTGAACCTCAGAAATTGTGAAACATTTGTTTTAAGCTGCCAAGATTTGAAGCAATTCGTTACACAGCAATAGATAGCTAATACAATCCCTCACTTTTTTCAGGTCTCTGCTCAAATGTCACCTTATTAAAATGGCATTCTGTGATCACCTGACATAAAGTAGCAACACCCCCAGCCCACTCCATCATTCTCTATCCTCTTTACCCTGCTTTATTTTTCTCTACAGCACTTATCACCACATATCATACGTTTTCTTTGTCTGTTCCTGTCTGTCTCCTCCACTAGACTATAAACTCCATGAGGGCAGGAACTTTATTTTTATTCACTGCTATAACCCTGGCATCTAGAACAGTGCCTGGCGCCTGGTAGATGCTCAACAAATAAAGATTATTAAAGGGTTATTCGTGAGAGCTCTCTGCCCTCTGAAGGTATTACTGGTAATAACTTACAATAATCAGGACAGATAACATTAATAATAATAGCAGCTACCATTTATTGACTGCTCTATGTGGAAGCACTGTGCTAATAACTTTACATGCCTGATCTCATTTCATTGTGACTATTCTATACAGCAGTTGTCATTATCCCATTTTAGAGATGATCTGAGGTTCAAAGAGGTTAAGTAATTAGCTCAAGAATACACAACCCATAAGTGGAACAGTTGCAACCTGAACCCTAGTCCTGTCCCATCTATAAAGTTGGACAGTTGATGGGCTGTGGGTCAGAATCCATATAAGAGCATTCCATGGTTCTTGAATTCCTCCCTCACAAATCAGGGCCCCCTTAATTATAAATGGGCTATTTTCTGATCCAGCTAATAAACTGGGGCCTCCCTGAGCTACATCAGAAGCCCTCTAGGAGATCAGAGGACCATAACTCCACCCTGACAAGAGCAAGCTGGGTGCTGCCCTACTGGTCAAGATAGGGTGTCCCACCCTGCAGTCTTCTCTTGAGTCCCAGTGGGGAGAGGGCTTCACTTACACTGGGGTTCTTGTCCTCATCATACTCGTCCATGTGGTAGGTCCTGTAGCCCTCCTCAGCTGAGTCCCAGAACCATTTAATGACTCTTCCTCTAGAGGACAGGTGGGAGCTGTTGAAAGAGAACCTGGTGGTGGGATCACCCACTCCATAGAGCTCCAGCAGCTTCTGGTCTGGTTTTCTAGAGCATTCTCTTTCCAGACCATCCCCATAGTTACTGTCCAGGTCCTGTGTGGAGGCTGGGCCCAGACAGGTGGAAGGTGCCCTGGATTCCTTCTCAGGGAGGGCGAACATCTACAAAAAGACAAAAGCACTCAATGCACCAAGCATCAGAAATGAATTGGTGTCATGGCCCCCCCTCCCCATCTGCTCCTTCCTTGAAGTCTGTATGCTCATCGCTTCCTATGTCTCTGTGGTTACTACTTGTAACCATGTGTGCAATCGCTTCAACAAGTAAATCCTGTTAAGCATCTAGGCCATGCCAGGAGCTGTGTTTGCTTTTATATGACTTTAACAGACAGCTGCTTTGGCTTGTTTTACTTTTGTGAAGTTTTTCATCCTGCAGCCTAAGGGGTCACCAAGTTCTTTGCCCATTCTCGCTTACCTCAATTTCAAAAAGCCAGGTTCAAATTTTCCAACTTGAAGCAGCCTGGAATCCGGAAGGGGCCCGTGGCGACTGCTGTGAACAGGGGTGAAGGATAGGATGAGATTATTCGGTGGTCTGCAGCAGAGGGTGGCTCCACAAGTGCAGGCCCCCCAGGCAGAGCTCCAGGGGCCATCTTCACTCCTGAGGGAGGGAGGCCAGGGCACCGGGAGAGGGCGGTCTCATCCCGTGAGGTCCTCCACTTTCTCAGCCAGCTTCCTCCTCTGCACAGCGGGTATAACCGTAACTACCACACAGGGTAGCAGTGAGGATATAAATATATGAGTTAATGCAGATAAAGTGCTTAGAACAAATCCTGGCTCATAGCCCAAGTGCAGTAAAACATGTGATTATATCATAACTCCTCACCGAGGAGGCTATATCATAACTCCAGTCCTGAGGCACGAGCCCCACACACCAAATGATGGGTGTCAGCCAGCGGCCCAGAAACCCAGGGGGGCCCGATTAAATTGTGGTCCACGAAGTCTTCTCTGGGGTCCTCCCAGGCTCGGCTGGGCTCTTCCGAGCGCTCACCTCCGTCGCTCCCGACAGCCCAGGCCTGCGACGGGCAGCGCGGGCGGAGGCCGGGGTGGGAGGCGCAGCCCGGGGCCCGGGGGCCTGGGGGACGGCGGGGCTCGGCTCAGCGCCGCCCCCGAGCGAAGGGCGGGCTCGGGGCGTGCAGCCGGGCGGCGACGCGTCCCCAGCCGGACACCCGCGCCCGATCAGGCCTGGGAATCCCGCAGCGGGGCGGATCCGGGGGATAAAAAGCGAAAGGGCCTCTGCACGGCGGCGGGCGGCTCGCGAGAGGCGCTCCCGGTGTCCAGGAGGAGGAAGTGTGAGTGGGGCAAAGGGCTTGGGGACGGAAAGGCAGACTTGTGCAGAGAGTCCTTGAGCCCTGCACGAAGCGGGGCCCCGAGGCTGCCCTTCTCTGCAAAGCGGGGGTCGCACCTACTTGGCCGAGCTCGCGGGGACCGGCGCTGGCACGTGCGTCCGCTTCCTTCGCCCGCACACGCTTTACGCGCGGGGACCCGGCCCCAGGGCACCCGGTCTCGGGGACCACGGGGCTTCCTGGACTGTTGGGGCGCAGGTCGTCCCCTCGCGGCCGCGGCCGGAGGACGCCTCCGTGCGGCCTGCGCGTCAGGGGGCGCACACGTGGCCGCACCCCGGGGGCCCGGGCTCCTCCGATCCTCCCGTGCGCGCTCCCCCGCCACTGGCCGCTCAGGCCCGAGGAGCAGCGGAGGAGGGGAAGGGGCCCGGGGCGGAGACTTCCACGAGGAAGGGGCGGGCCGCCCGCTGCCACCTCGGCGCCCTGTGGCCTGTCGGTTCCGGTGTCCCCCCTCCCCCCGTCGGCACGTGGGCGCGCCTCCCTCTGCCTCCCCGGCCTAGTTCTCCGATTTTGAGGCTGTTAGAGCCACGGAGGGTCTTGGCAAGTGTACGCCTGGTTGTCGCCCACAGAAAAGCCTTTTCGATTAAGGCGAGGGCATCCTTAAAACATCCTTCTTCTATGAGAGTTTTTCACGGGGGTTTGTTAATTTCTCCCCCTTTCCTTCTACGCAACATTTGTGGAACTCTGCCACGGACGCTACACCTCCGGGGCTTGGGCAGTGTGTCAGAGCACCCACGCTCTCCGAGGCTCCTGGAGTAGGAAAATTCTCCTCTCCCCCTGACAGGAAATACGCAGGATCCCTCGCTACTAGTATGCCTGGGAAAACTTGACTGTTGTCTGACCACTCCACTTGTCTTCACTTCGGCCTTGCCACTAACACTGTGACCTCGAGCCAGCTCTCGGGACTTTTTTGGCCCTCTAGTTATGTTCTGTGAAATAAGCCAGTTCTCTCCATTTAAGTCACATCATTCTATTTAATTCAGATAAGTAGTCTCATTGAATGCCTGGCTTGTGCCAGATCTCTGCAAATGCTGGGATACAGCGATGAGCACGACAAACAGCGCGCTGGCTTGGCTGCTTGGGAAGGCCGCCATATGGATGTGATGACTATTAAGAAAGGGAGGGCTGGGGGCTATGGAAGCATGCAGCAGGGGGGGTTAACCCCACCCCCACAAACATAGGCACTGGCTCACACAGAAAGCCCTACACACCATACATTCACCCAAACACTTAGGAAGTGATGGTTGAGTTCTGAAGGATGAGTCCTAGTTAGCTAGCTGGAGGGTGGGGTGTTGGAAGCAGAAGGAAGGGTTTGATGGGGTCTTGGAGGTTTGAGTCAGTGCGGAGCATTAATGAACTGCAACAAATCTAATTCGGCTGGAGGTTGCAGGGTCTGGGAGGAACGCTGGAGATACAAGCAGAGGTCAGGTCATGAGTCTTTGTAAATAAATCATGATAAGGACTGTGGACTTCTCACTGAGGGCATGGGACAGATATATTGTAATCCCCAGAGCAAACAAGTTTTTAAAAAACCAAAAGGTATAAGAAGCCAAAAAAGGCAATAAAATGTGATACTAAATAATGATTGATTAATCTGAAAGAAGGCAAACAGGAAGGAAAAAAATGAATAAAGAGCATATGGCACAAATAGGAAACAAGTAGTAAGATAGTTGACTTAAATCCAACCATATCAATAATTACATTAAATGTAATGACCAGGACCGATTAAAAGATCATCAGACTGGATAAAGCAGCAAGATTCAAGTATATGAATTCAATTATATGAATATGTCTGCAAGAGACATGTTAAATAAAAAGACAAATGGTTAAAAGTAAAATGGGAAAAAACATACCACACAAATGATGAGAGGATGGCTATTATTAAAAAACCAGAAAACAAGTGTTGGCAAGGATGTGGAGAAATTGGAACCCTTGGGCACTGTTGGTGGGAATGTAAAATGGTACAGCCTCTGTGGAAAACAATATGGAGAGTCTTCAAAAAATTAAAAAATAGAATTACCATATGAACCAGCAATTTCACTTCTGGATATAGTCCCAAAAGAATTGAAAGCAGGGTCCTGAAGACATATTTGTACACCCATGTTCATGGCAGCATTATTCACAATAGCTAAAACATGGAAGCAACCCAAATGTCCGTTGACGGATGAATGGATAAGCAAAATGTTGTATATACATACAACGAAATATTAGTCTTTATTTATTTTTTTTAATAATTTTTATTTATTTATTTTTGTTCCCCCAAAGCCCCAGCAGATAGTTGTATGTCATAGTTGCTCATCTTTCTAGTTGCTGTATGTGGGACGCAGCCTCAGCATGGCCGGAGAAGCGGTGCATCGGTGCGCGCCCGGGATCCGAACCTGGGCCGCCAGCAGCGGAGCGCGTGCACTTAACCGCTAAGCCACCAGGCTGGCCCGAAATATTAGTCTTTAAAAGGAAGGAAATTCTGACTTATGCTACAACATGGATGAATCTTGAGGACCTTATGCTAAGTGAAATAAGCCAGTCACAGAAAGACAAATACTGTAAGACTCCACATATGAGGTACTAAGAGTAGGCAAAATCATAAAGACAGAAGGTAGAATGGTGGTTGACAGGGGTTGGCGGAAGCGGGGAAGGAGAGAAGGGAGAGTTATTAATAGGTACAGATTTTCAGTTTTACAAGATGAAAAGAGCTATGGGGATGCATGGTGGTGATGGTTGCACAACAATGTGAATATATTTAATCCCACTGAACTGTACACTTAAAAATGGTTAAGATGGTAAATTTTATGTTATGTGTATTTTAACACAAAAAATCATAAGAAAGCTAAAATATTTGTAATCTGACATAATAGACTTCAAAATAATTACCAAAAATTCAAAACATTTCATAATGATAAACCGATCAATTTATCAGGATGACAAACAATTTTAAATGTTTATACTCCTAATAACAAAGCTTCAAAATACAGGAAGCAGATACTGACAGGACAAAAGGGAGAAATAGACAAATCAACAATTATAGTTGGAAAATTTAGCATCCTTCTTCTAGTAATAGATAGAATGGATCAAATAACAGTAAGAATCAGAAGATTTAAACATCATAAAACAATTTAATCTAATTAACATTTATAGAACACCACATCCAAAAACCACAGAATACACTTCTTTTCAAGTGCATGTGAAACATTGACCAGGACAGACTATACTTGGCCATCAACATGTCTCAGTAAATTTCAAAGGATTGAAATTGTAGTTTACGTTCTCTAGTCACAATGGAACTAAAGTAGATACCATTAACAAAGATAGCTGAACAATCCCCAAATATTTGGAAGCTAAGTAACATATGCTAAATAAATCATAGACAAAAAAGAAATCACAGGGAAATTAGAACATTGAATGTTTAAAAAAACCAACATATCAAAATTATGTATAGCTAAAGCAATGCTTGGAGAGAAATCAATAGCTTTAAATGCTTATATTTGGGGGAAAAAAGCTTAAAACCATTGAGTTAAGCTTCCACATTAAAAAGCTAGCAAAAGAGCAAATTAAACACAAAGAAAATAAAGGTAAGAATGGAAATGAAACAGAAGAGAAACAATAGAGAAAAATCAATGAAACCAAATTTGGTTCTTTGAAAAGCTCAATATAATTGATAAACATTTAAATTAACTGATCAAAAAAACTCATTTCAATATAAAGAAAGAGGAGATAACACTACAGATCCTATAGATATTAAAGGGATAATATGGGAATATTATAAACAATTTTATGTCAATAATTAAACTTAGATAAAATGGACAGATTTTCTTGAAAGACATAAATTGCCAAAACTGACACAAGAAATAGAAAATGTGAATAGCCCTATATCTGTTACAGAAATTGAATTCATGGGTAAAAACCTTCCCACAAAGAAAACTCCTGGTACAGATGGCCTTACAGGTGAATTTTACCAAACATTTAAAGTTTTTAAAAAATTGATTTGACACAAACTTTCAGAAAATTGAGGAACACTTCCAAAACATGTATGAGGTATTACCCTGATACCGAAAACAACAATGCATTACAAAAAAGAATATTATAGCACAATATCCCTCATGAAAATAGATGTAAAATTCCCCAAATTCAACAATATATAAAAGGATGATGCATCAATGACTATGTGGGGCTTATTGCAGGCATATGATGTTGGTTTAATTTTTTTTAATCAATGTAATTTACCACAATAATTGAAAGAGAATTATATCATCTCTAGAGGTACAGATAAAAACATCTGACAAAAATTAAACCCCCATTCATGGTAAAACTCTCAGCAAACTAAGAATTGAAGGAAACTCTTCTATCTGGTAAGGGCAGTATGAAAAATACTTGCAGAAACGTTATGCTTAAGAATAAGAGACTGAACTCAATCCTGCTAAGATTGAAAACAAGGCAAGAATGTCCCCTCTTACCACTTTTTTTTTGGTAAGGAAGATCGGCCCTGAGCTAACATCTGCCAATCCTCCTCTTTTTGCTGAGGAAGACTGGCCCTGGGCTAACATCCATGCCCATCTTCCTCCACTTTACATGGGACGCCGCCACAGCATGGCTCGACAAGCGGTGCGTCAGTGGCGCCCGGGATCTGAACCGGCGAACCCCGGGCCGCCACAACGGAGCGTGCGCGCGCGCCCAACCGCATGCACCACCGGGCCAGCCCCCTCTCTTACCACTTTTATTCAACGTTGTGCTGGAGGTTCTAGGCAATGCCATTTGAACAGAAAAATGAGACATAAATATTGAAAACAAAGAAGGAAAATCATCTTTATTCACAGGCAATATGATTGTATACATTGAAAAGTTTTTAAAAAGTCCTCCCCAAACTACTAGGGCTAATAAAAGTGAATTTAGCAAGGTCACAAGACACTGTCAGGAGATGAGTCTTCCTCAGTCTCTCATGTTTCTGCCTCTCTTGCAAGCAGGGACACTGACTGCCTATGTTCTAGGCTATCTTCAAGGATATATGTGTATATATATCAAACAGCCTTGCATGATAGCAACAGTGTCTCCCTCCAGAGCAGATGATAGGTTGGTTTACTACTCAGTATAATAAGATAATGTCTCCCTCAGGGCCAAAGTTCAGGCAGGCTTACTGCTCATTATAAAAGAATCGGGTTCCCTAAACTTGGGTTTCCTCCTTTGCAACACACGCACTGCATGTGGAGGCATCCGCTAGTGCGCCTCAGCTTGCCCTGTAGGAATCAGGGCTTGGGGAACCGAAAGCTGATACTCTGATTACTGCTACTGCTGTGAGTAGTAAGCTGTCCTTTGTCTCTGACCCAGGATTCTCATGCCTTCTGCCGGGATCCATGAAACCTGTTGGTTTGCAAGTAGGGTAAAATCTCAGAGCCTTCAAAGTCCTTGATAGATACAACATAGAAAAATCAGTTGTTTCAATATACTGGCAAGAAACAATTAGAAAATGAAATTAACCATACATTTAAAGTAATATGAAAAGCATAATGTAGTGATAAATTTAACCAAATATGTGTAAGATCTGTACACTGAAAGCTACAAAGACCTTGCTGAGAGAAATTAAAGATATAAATAAATGCAGGGAGATTCCACGCTCGAGGATAGGAAAATATTAAATTTTTCTCACATAACCGTTTGAATCTTGAACAGAATAGAAGACAGAAACAGCCTCTCTCTTCCATGGAAGGCACCATCCTCTCCATCTCAGGACAGTGGCCTTATGAGACTAGAGCTCCCATTACAGAGATCTCAAGAGCCTCTGGTTCCCATCTCCACCTTCTCTTCTGGTCCTAAGTGCTCCCTCATTCATCGGGTGAATTCCCTTCCTATGTCTATTAGCCAAGTCAGTTTCTAAAGAACTTTGTCTAGTGTAAAAGAAAAAACCTTGAGGGCCTGCCTGGTGGCGCCAGCGGTTGGGTGCGCGCACTCTGCTGTGGCGGCCCAGGGTTCGCCGGTTCGGATCCTGGGCGCGCACTGACGCATCGCTTGTTAGGCCATGCTGTGGCGGCGTCCCATATAAAGTATAGGAGGAGGGGCATGGATGTTAGCCCAGGTCCGGTCTTCCTCAGCAAAAAAAGGGGAGGATTGGCAGATGTTAGCTCAGGGCTAATCTTCCTCACAAAAAAAAAAAAAAAAGAAAAAGCCAACTTGAAGGATCTGGATTTGTTGGTGTGCTGCTTTTTGTTGATTTGAAAAAAAAAAAGGAAAAATTGTCATTGAAGAATAAGAACCACCAAACCTGGACCCAAGAGAGAGAGGATGGTCACAAACCCGAGTGAATGGCCAAAGCCATCAGCTGGTGCTAAAAGCTCTTGCATCTTCTAGAAAATGGCGATAGTCTCTGCTCTGCCCATTCACAGCATCAGCCCTCAGGCTAAAGCTCAGACGTGCAAGGGCTTTGCGGAGAAGCGCACAGGTGGTATGATTTGAACAGCTGACAACACTAGAGCTGAAAATGGAAGACCCAGGCTTGTCACCAGAGATTCATTTCAAAAGCCTTTTGAAAAGGCAAGAATGGAAAGAACTTGTATTTGGAAGCAGGAACGTTTGGAATTATAACCGCCACCCTGCCACTCAGCCACTCATGTGTAAGGTGGGTGTGATCATGGAAGGATCCTAAGGGACACTGCATCCAACACCTGGAAAGTCCCCATCAATTAGGGATCACCTTTTTCCTTCCTTGCTGACCTGCCCCCAGACAGCATTCTGCACATATAACCCACCTTAGAATTTAAAAAGAAGGGGCCGGCCCCGTAGCTTAGCGATTAAATGTGCGCGCTCCACTGCTGGCGGCCCAGGTTCAGATCCTGGGCGCCCACCAACGCACCGCTTGTCCGGCCATGCTGAGGCCGTGTCCCACATACAGCAACTAGAAGGATGTGCAACTATGACATACAACTATCTACTGGGGCTTTGGGGAGAAAAAAAAAAGAGGAGGATTGGCAATAGATGTTAGCTCAGAGCTGGTCTTCCTCAGCAAAAAGAGGAGGATTAGCACGGATGTTAGCTCAGGGCTGATCTTCCTCACAAAAAAAAAAGAAAAAGAAAAAAATCATCTAGCTCCCAAAGATGACAGGAAGAATGTGAACAAGAAATAAAACAGACCTGGAATTTAAGAGAATATGGAATTTATTAGATACGGAATACAAAAATAAACCCATCAGAATAGGGACCCAGAAAGCTGCCTTTACTCCTCTCTAGGCTTTCCTACCCCAACCCCCATAAACACATTTTGTACACACACAACGGCTACCAAAGACTAAAAAAAGATGCAAAGCTTCTAAAAATGACAGGTGCTCAGCTTAAGGAGGTTGATGACTAGGTCAGATGAGCCCATGCCTGCAGAAGCCCACTGTCTGTTCAGTCAGGGCACCAGGTCAATACCCCAGCCTTCTGGACCAGGGGCGGAGCATGTGGGACGCCCTGAGCGTGTGACTGGCTGGAGCCCCTGGTTGGGAGACAGGCCGCTTACTCCCTCAGTGTATCCTCCAGTTGCTTCACTATCAAATCCTGCTTTTATTCTACAAGCACCTGACAGAACCCACGCATGGCTGGCAGGGTCAAATGGGGACAGAGAGAGAAATATTTACTAGGTCTGCAGGTGGGCCCCAGATACACTCAGTCATGGTAGACCACCATAGAGCCTCTGGTTCAGAGATGCTGCACTTCAGCCCTCCCTTCCTTAGGACAGATGTCCAAATCTACCTGCCACGTCCCCGATGGCTCTTTGAGCTTCAACGTCACAGCACCTGCCTGCCAGACACCTTCAAGACAAATCAAATCCTGTAATATGGCTTATGGCCTTGGCTCAAGGTTTCTATCTGCCTCTAGTGACCCTTCGCTCAGTCTATTCTCCAAGTTAGCCCAAAAGATATTTCTGTAACATAAATGTTCTCTCATTCACTGCTATATTCCCAGCAAGTAGAACAGCATCCAGCGTGCAGTGAGATGCAATAGATAGTTGTTGAAATGAATGTCCTGTTTCTATAACCTTCAGAGGAGAATCTAAACTCCACTGTATAACATAGAGGGACTTCCATGGTCATCTGTCTGTCTCACCTAGTAGACTGCAGGCCCCACAAGGGCAGAGTACCACTTCTTATTAGCTTATCGTCCCAAGGCCCTGCTCAATAGGCACAGAACAGATACTCAAAACATGTAATATACCTCAAGTGCCTATCAGTTCCTGTTTACAAAGGAGCTTAAAGATATGAAAGTGGAAAAAAATAGTATAGAAAGTCTGGAGCTACAGGCTGCTAAGGCCAAAAGGGGGAAGACTCGAGTATTGGGTTATAGAGGAGTTGATGTGGCATCTTTGGAGGATGCCAGGCTTGGGAGCTCAGCACCACTCACCGAGTTTTAGCCGGAGGGGCTTATCTGCAAAGACGAGACAGAACCAGCCAGGCTCCTTACAGAGGTAGGTCTTGCCACGGGACAATATCAGCTTGTTGTCCAGGAAACGGCGATGGAGCAGCTCTTCCTCAAATGTACACGGGTCCAAGTACTATGGAGGGCAGAGCGACGGAGCTGAGTCCAAGACCCATCTGGTAGGTCTGCCCAAGAATACCTGTCTTCACTCACCTTTTTCAAGTTGATCCAGACATAGAGGCCGGAGCCACGATTGAGAAAGGGAATCTTCAATGCCTTCAACTTGTTAGTGATGTACCTGTGAGCTGCCTGCAGCCGGGAGCGATTAGTGGGCAGGTATACTTTGTCACTCCATTCTGGAGGGGTGGGGGAAGAGAACTGTCACAGATCTCATGGCAGAGATCCACCAGAGGGTTCCTTACCAAATGCTCCCTACCTGGGCTTCGTGCTAGCTATGTCTATCCAAGACTGACTCTGTATTATATTTGAACTGATGGCATCCATAACCCACACACCCACCTCTTACCTATGACTCTGGGGAAGACACTGAGCTTCTCAGCAGTCCAATAGGAATGTTCTGTTTGAGTTTATACTCCTGAGGCAAGGAGTTGGGGTATCCCCTGCATGGGGTTGATGCTGCTGTTGTCAACTGGGCAAGTAGCAGGTACACACATCTTCCCTTACCTCCTGCCTTAGAGCCTCACGTGGTGGACTTTGAAGAACCTAGATGTTAGCACCACCTGGGGAGCTTTTAAAAGTCCTGATGACCAGGTTATATCCCCAGATCATCTAAATCAGAATCTTTGGGGATGGAGCCCATGCATTGATATTTAAACTCCCCAGGTAATTCCCATGTGCACCTAAGGTTGAGAACCAGTGTTCAAGGGGCTGGGAATCTGGTTTCTGCCAAAAGCAAAGGGCCTGGCACCATGTAGGGAAGCATCCAGTCGGATTTCTCCTATCCACTCCTTTCCCCACCCAAAGCTGAAAGCAAATTGTTTTCTAAACCAGATTATCTGATTGTATTAGTTTGTTTCATTATATCCCAGTTTTTAATTTAAATCCTCTAGCCTGGATTCTCCTCTTTTACAGGAAACTAAATAAAGGGGGCCTTATCTAAGTTCAGGACATGGCACTAAAGGGAGAAGTGCCCTCTGAAGCCGGCGTTCACTGGAGATCCATGGAGGAAAGTGAATCCAGGTGCCACAGATGTAGCCACACCAACTAGCCCAAATGGCAGCTCTCCTTTGGCCACCTTGGAAGATGAAGTTAAGTCATATTGGAGGAATCAGCGTATTTCTTTGTCATCTTTGCCTGACGCAAACAGGGCATTGGGGAGGGAAAACTGACCTTCACATAAGGATTGACTTCTGAAGTTCCCACCTTCAAGTCTTAGAGTACAATTGACTATCCCCTTTCTAGGCAGGACACTTGTAAGCTACCAGACAGCCAGAAATTAAAGCCCATCTTCTGTTTTAGACAAGCACCTCCTTGTCTATCTACACCCTTCCACACCATCTGATTGCATCCTGCCCTCCTGCGAACTTCCTGTTCTGCCACCGTTAAACCTGAGACAGTGAACAGGGTCTCAGTGTGTTGACGGTATGTCACAGGCATAAGAAGATCCAGGAATTCCCCATGGCCATGAGATCTGGTCAAGATGCCAGCCTGGGATGGGGCTCAGTACCTCTGTCCTGGAGCAGCCGACAGAGCTTGTGCTGGGTGATCCCAGAGATGCCATGGAGGTAGCCAAAACAGCTCATGGCAGAGGCCATCTCCTAGTTGTGGGTGTACACAGCGCCCAAGCGGAAGCCAGAGATGCCGAAATCCTAGAGGAAGAGAAGTGGGGAGGGCATACCTGGTGTCTGCCTTCTGTCCTGGCTCCCCTTCCTTCCCTACCCAAGGACAGGCAGCTGGGGCTCACCTTACGGGTGCCCCAGATCACATGGGTCCTGTTGGGGTCAGGCAAACTGGGGAGGAGACAGTACAATCAAGATTAAGGAGAAACATTTGAAGAATGAAGACTTGGGGTCTACGAGGGCAAAAGAGGAATGTGGACTTGAGGTCCTTCCTAGACAAAGGGCCTACAGGGCCCACAGTCCAAGAAACAGTTGCCCCAATTAAGGCAGGAAGTTAACAAAAGGCATTCTTGGGGACCTAGACAGGACAGCTCCCAAGTGCCCACTGAACGAAGTCCCAGATCCTCAGCCTGGCTTGTGGCCTTCTTACAGCTGGTCCAAAGCCACCTTCTTGGCAGCTGGCTCTTCACACATGTGGGCCACCCATTTCTAAAATGTGCTTACCTATTTCTTACCACCTCGCCTTTGGTGAAGCTGTTCCTTCTGCCAGGGAAGTCTTTCCCTTGCTTTGGCTGCTGGGATCCTATCCTACCGCCAAATATCCTTAAGAAATTTCCACCCTATTTCTGTTCTTTCCCTGTGCAGGGAAAGATGTTTCCACTCTGACCTTCAGGAGGGCTTTATCTCGACTTCTGACAGTGCACCTTCTCCCTTGCCCTCAAGGTATTTCATGTACAAATGGCATTCAGAGAAGACACTTGGGAGGAAAGGTGATGCTTTGCTGATATTCATATTCCCAGTGGCACTTAGCTGAGTTCCTAGCACGTAGCCAATTGAGTTTATGGCACATGAGCTCACCTTGCAAAAGCAGGAACCTCATGGTTCTCATTCTCGACTCCAGCTGAGACTCACCTTTCCATGCTCAGAACCCTGTGGAAGGTGATGGATTCATCAAACACAGACAGCATGTAAATCTCATCTATAATCACATGTAGGTTGTACCTGCAGGTTGGGTGGAAGGTTCTAGGTTCTCTCTAACCTTAACTCACTTTCTTTAGGGTCCTCTCTGGATATAGAGATCAGAGACTCCTACTGCCTCAGCAGCCCATCCAACCCTTCCAAGAGGCATGATAAGGTAGAAGTGGGTGGTACACCAGAAGAGACCTTTAGACCTGGCGTGGGGGTATGAGGAAGGAATAGGACCCAAAAGACACTCATGAGAACATCTTACCTAACCCTCAACCATCAAGCAGAGACCAATGGGAAGGGGCTGGGTGTCCAGAGAGTTTTCATCTATTACAATCAGGAGCTCCCACCCAGGGTCTGAATTGAAGAGTGGCATCAAGGGGGCTAAGTGCTTATCACGTCATGTCATTTATTCTCCCAACAGCCCTCTGGAGCAGTACTGTTATCTCCATTTCATAGATGAAGAAATTAAGTCTGAGATATAAAGTCAATCCCCTCAATTAGCAGGTGGGATGTGAACCTCGTTCTGTCGAATTCCAGCATTCTTCTTCTTATCCCCATGCTCTGCCATTTGTTGGTCTGGATGAGTTATGAAGTTTGAACAAGTGTGTTTCTTCTAGAAAATGGAAGATTATCTACCCTAACAGGGCTATTTCAAGACCCCAGAGATAACTGATGTTAACACTTTCTTACGAAGGGGACATGAAAGTTCTACAGGGACACGTCTTCACCCCACAAGGTCTGAGAGTGTCTTCCTTGGCACCTCAGGTCAAGCAATTTGGAAAATGGCTGCTGGGAGAAAGTGCTTATGCCACAAGAAGTGGAAAGGCAATGAAACTATGATTGTTATGTAGGTGTCTGTACACAGGCAAAGGCTAGGAAGGAAATGGAAAAGGGTTTGGTTGAAGTGGTAAGCACGTGGGTGCACTTTCCTTCATTTCAATTTCAGTTAGTTGTACATAACTTCGCAATGTATACTGTGCAGTAAGAACATTTAGGGAATATTATTTCTGGTTCTGACTGCTTGACCACGAGTGATCAGAACCCTTTTTAGGGACTTCGTCTAGTCTCAAGGGGTGGAACTCATACCTCTTGGCAAATTTCAGGTATTTCTTCAGTGAGCGCCGGGAGTAGACGTCTCCTAGAGGATTCTGAGGGTTGGTTAGCACGAGGCCTCTGACCTTTTTCCCCTAAAAAGAACCAAACATAGTTGAGTGAACCCATGTCCTTTATATCTACTTCAAGTTCAGCCAAAGATCAGGTCAGGACACCCAATAGAGAATACCTAATCAAGGCCAAGGTAGGGTCTCAAAGCAGCAATGACCACACTGCCCACAGAGGGGGAGCAGGAAGGAGCTCTGGGGGGCTACCCTTGACAGGGCTCAGGTCTCCTGGGGGGACATCCCCCTGGGCTCATTCACTGTCTCTTCTGAAGAAGGAGCCCACACTGTCTTGGTGAGCAAGTTGCACCAGAGTCTCAGTACTCTTTTTCAGGGACAGCAGCATCCATCCTGAAGACGTGCTTCCCTCCTTACCTTCAGCCTAGCCTCAAGCAGGGCTTGCTCCAGCTTGTCCACAGTGAGCTGGAATGGATGAGTGTTCCCATCAGTGATCTAGAAGACAAACACTGCCTGAGAACTGCTGAACTGAAAGCTTCTAAGTCTTGACTTCCCATTCCTATAAACCCTGAGCAATCCTTTACCTTCATACCCAGGGCGCCAGTCCCATGTGCCCTCTTTGACCTGATTTCTCCATCCTTCCCCCACCATCACTTATACGGGAGAAAAGCAAAGCCCCCTACACCTTCCAGATGCCCCTAGAACATTCCATTGCCAAGGTGGGCTGAGCAGGGGAAGGGGGCCTGTTCTGACCTCACTGTCCAGGTGAACAGGAATCAGCTCAACTTTCGAATACAGGCGGGAGCTCAAGACGAAGCCACCATAGAAGGGGTGGGGGACAGAAGGGCCTCTGGAAGCACAGGGAGACAACGCCGTCAGTCCAGAGTCTCTCAGTTAGAACCTGCCAGGCCCCCCAGACCAGCAGCAACACTATAGGCAGAGAAGGTTAGTTTGCCAATCCCTCTCCCTTGGGGATCAATGCTTTTGGGCTTAGGCTCTGTATCAGGTATCCATTCTTATAAATATTATTTGGGGAATGAAACTCAAGTTTCCTCTTTGGGGGTACACTAGAGAAGGAGAAAGGGAAGAATATTGTGAATGGCTTGGAATCCAGGGCACAAATCAAGCCAGGCTTGCCAGCAGGTGGAACACTAGTTGTTCAGCAAGTCTTGTCAGCTCCAGGCCACGCCCTGGAGGCTGAGGTCCATGCCCAGGGAGGCTCCCATCTTTCCCCCTTCACTCTGCCCTGGCCCTGGGGGTCTCTGCTGGTTCTCCCTGCACCGTCTAGAAAATGCAGAGTCCCCAACATTACAGCCCTCTCCCACGGAGGCAGCAAGGCTGGGAAACTGACTCACGTTTTCTGGATCAAGGCGGGCAGGTGACTTGCAGTAGTAGGTCAGGAACTGGGCCACTTCTTCCCGCAGGCTGTAGACAGACCAGAGATACCTTGTGGTTCCCAGGCCCAGGGGCCCTTTCTCATTTAGGGTCTAGATGTCTGTCTTTTCCAAAGGGCAAAGTGTCCAGCCTCATTTTACAGGGCTACTGACTGAGGCTATCAACTCCCCGGATGACACAGGCAAGATGTGGGAGAGTTTGGACAAGAATTCAGGCCTTTTGAGTAACAGGGCAGTGCCATCTCTACTACACCAGGCTGCCCCCTGACCACTTTTTGCTCTAGGCATCTTCTAGAAGTTGTTAGCCAAAGAAATAGGGAGATAGCCAACCATGAATCTGGTGCTTGGTGTCCCTCCCTGGATGAGGACAGGTGCCTGTGGACCAGGAGACCATAGATCTGGAAATTACTTACAATGGCTGCCCTCTCCAGTCAGGATATTGCAGCAGGGCGTCCTCAGTGTAGTTCATGTCACTCCGACTCAACTGCTGACAAATAGAGCATGAGGACTGCCAGACCAGGGGAGCCCAACAGGCCTTATCCTACTTCTAGGGTAGGCATTGAAATGTGTTCTGAGGAAGAGCCTTATTGCCCACTCTGAGAAAAGGGGACACTGAACAGGTAGCCTCTGGGTTCTCCATCCTGTGCTTCAACCAGAGCAATGCCTACTTTATAGGAGTCTAAGAAAGAAAGGGGATTCTGCTGCTTTAAAAAGAAAAGAAAAAACCTGAGTAAATCATTGTGCTAGAACAGGGATTAGTAAACTACTGCCCGAGGGCCAAATCCAGCCTGTCACCTCTTTTTGTAAATAAAGTTTTATTGGAACAGGGTCACATGTTTGTTTGTGTATTATCTATGGCTGCTTTTGTACTCCAATGGCAGAGTTGAATAGTCATGACAGAGACCCTATGGCCTACAAGGCCTAAAATATTGACTATCCAGCCCTTTACAGAAACAGTTTGCCAACCCCTGTTCTAGAACACCGGCCCTTCTTTTTGCCTCTTTTTCCTGAGTTGGCCATACCAGATATTCAAAGCTCAGTCCTTCCATCCTCCTTCCTTGCATCGCTTCCTGTAAACGCTGTCAGCCTGCTCACTGTGATGGCTGCCTTAGACTTCCATCCTAGCGACTGGGGGCTAGACACATGGTTCTTGAACTTTACTGTCACCAGAATCACTGAGAGGGCTTGTTCAGCAAGATCGCTGGGCCTCTTCAGCAGACTTTGATTCAGTATGTCTGGGATAGGGCCTGAGAATTTTCAGTTCTGATAAACTCTTAGGACTATACTTTGAGGACTTCTGACTATTAAGACCAACCTTCTATCTGAAAAGAAGTCAAAATGCCAGATAAGACTTAAGAAACACCTGTTTAAAGCCTAAAAAAAAAACCCAAAAATCACATAGCAAGAAGCTACAAAGTAAGAAAACCTGAGGGCAACAACTACCTCTAATTCTTTATAAGACAATCCTCATATCCCCAGACATTGAGACTTTTCTTTCTAAAAATCTAGATTTATACGTCTTCCACCAAATGCCATATTCTAAGTTCTTCTTCTAAGTCACAGCCCTCCACGTATGTAAACCTTGTTCCTTCTTTTACAGTTTTATGGCACCACCACTTCCAAGTACTGGGCACTCTGCCCAACCTCTTCAAACCATGTTCAGTTCACTTGTGATGTTCCCATGGCAACCTACACTTCTCCTTAGTGACACTTAATCTTGTTACTTGTTCGGTATCTGCCCAGGTCAGCCTTCGTCATTATATCCTTAGCACAGTGCCTGGCATATAGGTAACCAGTAGGAGAGGCACAAGCCTCTGGCCTTCCTTCCCCTTGCCATGTGCCAGCCTTCCCTGGTGTCTCAGTACTCTAACCTAATTCAGACTCCTCATTCTCGGTATGGTAAGTATGATAAGGATTGTAGAGTCTTCTTTATGTGCATAGGAAGCAAGTATTTGGAAATTGAGATCTCTAAATACAAGTTGCAAAATTGAAAGCTCAGATAAGAGCAGCCTTGAGAAGCCTCGATGCTATTCTCTAGGTGCCACTCACCAACTGTAGGATGTAGCAAGAATTATCTCCCCTGTCTGGGCATCAGTTTCTGCATATGTAAGACGAGAAGATACCTCAATGCAAGGTGATAAAACTGCAGCTCAATAACAAGTAGCCTCTAGGGTCTCACAGATTTAAACCTAAGACCTCCCGCGTTAGCCCAGAACTCCTAGGAAGAAGAATGAATGAGCAGAAAACCAGTCCCTGCACGGCCTGCAGCCTGGCTTCACACCACACATGCCCAGGAAGTCTCAAGTTCTGAAGACGGATTAACTTCATCCAACAACATTGTCACCCTGTATTGCTGGTGATGCAAAGTCCCCGAGCAGAAGCAAACAAATGCTCCAGAAGGGGTTACCTTAGACTTTGGATTTTTCAAAGCATTATTTTCCAAATGGTGTCCAGCACACAGAAAATCCAGCCACATGAACAAACAGTATGAGCTAAAACCAGCAGAGACAACAGAAAGACCAACTGGACTCCAGCTACGAAGGGGAGATTGTAAGATAATTGCTTTTCTGTTCAAGGAGATAAAACCAACCTGAAAATTGACAGAAAACTGGAAATTATTAAAATGACAGATTTGAAAGGAAACAAGTGATTCTAGAGGTTAAAATTACAACGACCAAAGATGAAAAACCTCATTGGAAGGGTTTAACAGCATATTAGACACAGCTGAACAGAAAATTAGTGACCTAGAAGAGACTGAAGAAACTTTCTAGAATGTGGCATGAAGACACAAGAGAAAGTAAAACAAAAGATACGAGAAGATCTAAAATATACATGCACATATACATATTCATTTGGAGTCCCAAAGAAAGAGAAAATGGGGCAGAAGCTATTTGAATAAGACGTTTTATCAGTGCCAAATAATCAGACTCCAAAGCACGGATTTAAGAAGCCCAACAAATGGAAATTAGGATAAAGAAAGTTATACTTACATATATATCATGGTGAAGCTACAAAAAACAAGACAAAGATAAACATCTCAAAAGCAGCCAAGAAAAAGTTACTTTTAAAGAAATAATAGACTGAAAGCTGACGTCAGCAACAGGGGAAACCTGAAGACAGTGAAATGTTTTCAATGTACTGAGTCCTAACCTAGAATCCAGTAGCCATCACAGGGTCAACATTTCAATAGGTGGTACCAGTTCCTCCCCTACAGGGGCTAGATTTACTGCAGAGGGCACTACTAATTGAAGCAAGTAGGTTTACCTTAAAAGCCAACTGAGTGAAAGAAACCAGACCCAGTACACACTGTACAGTCCTCCTTATAGAACAAGTAGTAGGAATCAGTAGTGACAGAAATCAGAAGAATGGTTGCCTGGGCAGGGGGTTGGGAAACTGACTGCAATGGGGTGCAGGGAACTTTCTAGAGCAATGGACATGATCCATATCATGATGGGTTGGTGGTTATGTGGCTACAACCATTTGTCAAAGCTCCAACTGCACACTTACGAATTTTGCTATATTTAAATAGGTTTTTTAAGTGCAGCTATAGCTCATTTAAGGCTCTGTTAGGATATAAATGGCTAAACAAGTTTCTTTCTAATGCTAGCCCTTCAAATAGAAAGACTAGTATAGGGGCAGCCCCAAGCATACAGAAGGATATTTGCATAATTATTCTATAATAGAAAAGAAAGGAAGTGCCAGTTCTTAAATAAATAAAAGACAGCAAATTTAGTCAAGAAAAACAGAAGGAAGCACCTACAGAGAAATAAGATGGACTGAAGACTATTTTGAACTGTTCTATGGATATGCTTAAGTCTGGATAAAATGGATAATTTAGTTAATCCCAGATGAGAAATGAAATCTAACAAATCAGTGTCCATAGAAGTTATCAAATAGCTAAGTCCCTAAAAAAGTACCTGGCCCAGACAGTCTCACAGGGGAATTCTACCACATATTCAAAGGAGTAAAATATTCTAGTGCTATTTAAAGATTTTATTTATTTATTTATTTATTTTTCCCCCAAAGCCCCAGTAGATAGTTGTATGTCATAGCTGCACATCCTTCTAGTTGCTGTATGTGGGACACGGCCTCAGCATGGCCAGAGAAGCGGTGCGTCGGTGCGCGCCTGGGACCCGAACCCGGGCCGCCAGCAGCGGAGCGCGCGCACCCAACCGCTAAGCCACGGGGCCGGCCCTCTAGTGCTATTTAAACTGTTCTAGAGAAAAGGAAAAGCACTCACATTTTATAATCAAATAAACAGGATATCAAGATTTGATAAAGTTTATATGAAGAACTATGGATGGATCTCACCTATGATTAGATTATCAATATTTAAAAGCTGAATAGCACTTAGCAAATAGAATCCAGCAGTAACATAAAATAACCCTAGGACCAAATGGGGTTATACAGAGAATGAAGGATAGATTAATTCCATGACTTGTATTAACTTTTCACTCATAGTCCCTAGGGGGATGAAAAGAATCACTTGATTTTATCTATAGATGCTAAAAAGACATCTGACAAAATTAGACACCCATTCTTGATTTAGACAACTTAAGACAGATACTTCTTAAACATAAGACATCGCTCAGCCAAAAAGCCAGTCTTCTACTCGGTCTGGGAAACTGAAGAGTGTGAGCTCCTGAATGAAAGATAAGGCCACCCGTTGTCACTGTTAACTGTCTCACGTTGCACCAGAGGTCTCAGCCAAGAACATCAGGCAAGGAAAGAAATTAGAGTTAGAAATAAAGAATTTGGATTATCGCTATCTGCATATTATTACTGTCTACCTGGAAAACACAAGAGAATTAACAGAGAATCTACAAGAGATTTTAGTATAGTTATAGAAGAGGGGCTCAGCTCATGTTTTTGTAAATGAAGTTTTATTGGTACACAACTACACCTAGGCTGCAGGCCACACTTTGGTAGTAAACACTAGACCAGCATTTTCAACCTGGATCACCTACCTAATGAGTGAGCCTAACGACTGCCTAGTATCCCCATCCACAGGCAGGGTCATCTGCATTTAATCCCAACTGCTAGGAGGTAAGAATTATCCCCAAGTTTCAGATGGGGCCATTAAGAACAAAATTTATGACAGTCTATTGAACTTAACAAGGTCCCCCAATATATCCAGAATGAGTTCAGTGTAAGTTATTTTGGGGGGCACAGAACCCTCTGAAACCACAGTATTATCAACGACAGCTAAGATTGATTAAGCACTGCCTTGATCCAGGCTCTGGTCTGGGGTCTTTGTATGCATTACCTGATTTAATCCTCAGAATGGCTCTATAGGAGAGTAATGCCATTAGCCTCATTTTACAGAGGAGAAAACCGAGACTCAAAGGAAGAAGGTGAACCGCACGAGCTCACACAAGTAGCATGGGAAAAGGGGGCTTTAAAGCCAAGTCTGGTAGCCCCAGGCCCCTCCACTTTCCTAACCATCTCTCCTCGAGACCTCTTCCTAGA